TTAAAGGCCATTAAAGTTAATGAAAGATATTTTAAGAAAGATATTGCTCAGAAGTATATGCTGAAATTAGAATTGTTCTTACTTGAATAGAAAATTGTATAAAACTGTCAAAAGCACTAGTACTCTGAAGATGTTTCAGAAAGAGCTGATTATGATCCTTATTGCATTTACCCAATTATAACAAGAACTGTGCCTATAAGGAGTTGCCTTTAACTCACTCTCTATTCTAAAGAATACATTTCAAGTGAGTGCTATGATTCGCTCATTAATCTACTTGAAAAGATACTGAAAGAACCAGAGTGTTAAAAGATTCATTCAAAGATTCTGGATGCAGCACAAGTTAAATTTTTTCACTGTGCTAACTGTACTTGATAAAAAAAATTAAACAGAATATCAATACATTTTTTACAAAACTTCATAAATGACAATACTTATTGAATTAAACTTACCATTTTTCTCATGTATCTGTACAATGGAATTATAGGACTGTTGGGCTCTTGCTAGATTATATTGATTCTGAAAGAGAGTTACACATTTTAAATCAAAACTGTAACTAGGTGAAAATTGTTACAGTAAATGTATGGATGCATCATGGCTGTGCTTAATATAGGAAACAATAATATTTCTATTTCTGAAACAATTTTAACTTAATGTCACATCTCATTTCATTATTCTCTACAATTTTTAATAACAACAAAACCAAAATTGTATGCCAATAAAAGCCTCAAGGCTTCAGGGTTCATTTTTATAAGTCTTCCTACCATTGATCAAATACAGAGCTTTCTAGTGTCCCCCAAATGAGTATTGTTTAACTTGATCCATTAGAACGGAGGGGGACAAGTTAAACAATACTCATTTGGACATGAATAAAATCCATGCTCTCTTCCTCATTAACATATCCAAAAAGACAAAACTACAAAATATTACTTTCAAACAAGAAAATCAAAACAAGCTTCAAGTACTATACATGTGATTGATATTTTTAAATTAGAAATCTAAAAAATGCCCATAGTTGGCACCAAACTATTACTAAGGGAGTCCTCTTTTGACAAAAATATATAATCTTCTTTAAGGAGCCAAGTAAGTATATGATAGGTTTTTGTCCCCAGGAGTACAACTGACATACATCTTAATTTCAAACTATATATCATGTGCATTCTCCATAGTGGTATATACCTATCTAATATATTATGTCATAGAATTTTTTCTGAGTAATAAATTTGCTTAGAAGAATGGAAAAAAAAAAGTGCAAGGACATTCCAAGGGAAAACTTTTTCTTCTTTGCTACTTCCAACCACCCAGTTCCCTTCTCCATCCAAGTTAACAACTAATATCCTTGAGGATTTTACAAGAATATGCACAAGTAGTCGGTTGTTGTAAGAGCAACGTATACACAGATGTGCAAAGTACTGGTAAAATGGCTAATGTAGATCTGAGTCAAAAGACATTATGTGCCTTCATAATTTTGAAGTGCCCACTCCAAGACTGCCCCAAGCCATCTATGAATGCCTCCATACAACCTCATTAATAGTACTTCACCAAATCTTTGCTATTTCTGACAATCGGAGAAGCAGAATTCAGTTGTTTTGTTTTTTCCAATATTTTTTCATTGTCAATGATATTTATTTTTATATATGCGGTGCTGAGAATCAAACCTAGTTCCTCACATGTGCTAGGCCCTAAGGGCTGTTGTACCACTGAACCACAACCCCAGCCCTCAGTTGTGGTTTTTGATTTGCATTTCTATTACTAGGTGAGGTTGAGTGTGTTTTCATATGTTCAAACTGTAAATAGACTCATTATATCCTTTTCCCGTTTTTTTTTTTTTTTTTTTTAAACAGGGTAGTAATTTTCAATTTCTGAATAGTAAAGCCCTGTCATAAGGCATGTCATCTAAAAACTAAAATATATAAAGTAAGCAGTAGTGTCATCTCAAAAATAATTTAAAAAGTGTTTTTATTCACCCAGTCTATATTTTCACAAAAAGGACAAAAATAAAAGATACTCAAGGCAAAACTGTACTGCTACCTGTCCCAACTCCTGCTACCTCTCCTACACAGATCTGCTGAGTTCTCAGCTCCATCCTCTGACCCTATCTCTATCAGGCCTGTTGAAGGGAAACTTCAGTTTTTCAGTACTTATACTTACATCATTTTAGTAACATTTTCAGAGGGCAAATTCATTCATTTAGAACAACAGCTGACAGTATCTTTTTTTTTTTAATATTTTGAAGTAAGAGTTAAATGGCAAATAGAAATTCAAAGACCACAAAACAATTTAAAGTCCCTCTCATCTCTAACTTATCCCGACCAATATTTTTTAAAATTCTTATCAGAAACAATTAGCACTTGTTACATACTCTTCCAAAGATACTCTATGCTTACACAAGCACATCTATATGTTCTTGCCTGTTTCTCTTCTGTGCCCATGCTCTGTCTTTCCCTCCCCCCCCCTCTCTCTCACACACACACACACAAATAGCATTTTTAACACCATTTAGCTTACTATTTTTAATTTTTTTTTAGTTGTGGATGGACACAATACCTTTATTATATACTTATTTTAATGTGGTGCTGAGGATTGAACCCAGTGACTCACTTGTGACAGGCAAGCACTATACCACTGAGCCACAACCCCAGCCCCTAGTAGTGTCTTACTTTGATACCTCTTCCCCCCCAGGTTTATTATCCCAGGTATCATCATCATCGTTGTTGTTGTTATTGTGTGTGTGTGTGTGGTACTGGGAATCAAACTCAGAACCTCATGCATGCCAGGCAAGTGTTCCGTCACTTAGCTGCTCCACCAGCCCTACCACAGGTTTTTTGTTTGTTTTTGTTTAATTTTGAGACAGTATCTTGCTAAGTTGCTGCAGCTAGTCTCAAAATTGCAATCTTCTAGCCTTATCCTCCTGAGTTGCTATGATTGCAGGTATACTCCACTGAGTGCAGCTTCACAGGCTTTTATTTAGTTTCAGGTTTTGGGTTTTTTTTTTATAGTATTTCAAAGTTAACATTTAGACCATTCCCTGCAGACTTTTTAGAACTGAGGAAGAAGGTGAAATTCATTATGCAAAGTTTCCAACTTCTTAACTGACAAATATTTCTTAATAAGAAAAAATGAACAGTGATTTTTTCATAGCAATTCACTAAACAAATTCAACTTCTAAGACATACACAGTTAATGCATGTCACAACACTTCAGTCAACCAACAATGGAGGCCGGCATGTAGAATGATGGTCCCAAAAGATTATATCACCTAGTGACATCATAGCCATCTTAGTTTATGCTATAAACACACTCAATGATGTTCACATAACAAAACTGCCTAACTACACATTCCTCACAAAGCACAATTTTCTTTAAGCAATATCACTGTACTTTATTGATTGATTCGAAGAGATCTTCAACATACAATAAAGATAGAATTTTAAAACTGGAGGAGACTTTACCTATCCAATTGTATTCCAGATACAGATCAGAGGCCCAGAAGAAAGTCTGCATAGTGAGGTACTGGCAAAATCTTTCAATTACTAAATAAGATCATTAGTTTGAGCCCTTCAAATTTTCTCTTTTAAAAAGAAAATGAGCTAGAATTTTTTTTAAATGAATCCAATTTAACATTATGTTCTACATATAAATAGATGCCAGGAAGAAAATATTGAAAAGACCAGAAACACTATTAACTTTTTGGCATATTTCTAATAGTCAAGTTACAAGTGACATTTTTAGTTTTTTATACTTTTATCTACTTTACAAACTCTACATTTAGGAAGAATATATTTCATCATTAAAAAAAAAAAATTTAACCTGTAATCCCAGCTAATGTGCAGCCTGAGGCAAGAGTATCTTAAGTGCCAGGCCAGACTGGGCAGCAAAACAAGACCCAACCTTCAAGTAAACAAAATATATCACATTTTAGTACATACATAATCATTTGAGTGCCACATTTAAGCCTTAAAACAGTATATATATATGTATGTGTGTGTGTGTGTGTGTGTGTGTGTGTATATATATATATATATATATACACACACACACACACACACACACACATATACACACACTATTAGGTTAGATGTAATTAACTAAACACTAGAAAATTGTTCAACTTCTGGATTTTATATAAAATATTTTGTTCCAGTGTAAAGAAACACCTGCTAAAAAATAAATCATTGTTTAAAATGACCTTTTCAACATTTTACTTTTTCTGTGAATTAAGATTCTAGTGGGGGCTGGAGTTGTAGCTCAGTGGTGGAGCACTTGCCTTGCATGTGTTAAGGCTCTGGGTTCAATCCTCAGCACCACATAAAAAATAAAACAAAGGTATTTTTGTCCATCTACAACTAAAAAAGAAAAAATTTTAAAAAAAGACTCTAGTAGACTCACGATTTAAGGTGCAATATGGTTACAAGTATATAATGCAACATTTGCAAAGAACACTGAGGGAAAACATTCAAATAATAAAAAATTAAATCAAGATTATTTCCATCACACATATATTTTTCAAAAACACACTACCCTCAGTGTATATCCTTAGCTCATTTGCATATTACTGATAACTACAATTCTACCTGGAAAGATGTTTCTGATAAAGTGTGGAATTCAATAACAGCAAAGACTACAGTCACTCTCTAGTTCCAATGTTTGTTCTGGCACTATGACATTAAGGTAAGTTACCTAACTTCTGTGTCTTTCAGTTTCCTCATCTGGGGCAATAACATACCTTTTTAGGTTATTAAGGGAGTTCAAAGAGTTAACATAAATTTAGATTGGAGTCTAGCACATTAAAGTTGACTAAGAATTAACTCTTAAAGTGTGATCTCAGTGTGAAGAAACCACAAAGTACTTTTAATTTTTTACTTATTAGGATATACATACCAAAAATAATAAGTTTAAAACTCTAGGTATGTTTGCCTATGTGACTATTAAAAAGACTAAAAGAACAGATATTAAATAATTATCAATGAATATCTTAATTTTCTTACACTTCTTTTCTACAGTTCACTTTTATTAACAAAACAAATCAAATGACAATGAAATAAATTGTCTCAAAAAGAATGAAAGCAAGACAGGAAGAAGCTTCATAAGGTAACATAAGATGAATCTTACGCTTTATGTGAAATTTTTAATAAAGTACCTTATTTGCTCCAAACTGCACTCTGGCCTTGCCTTTGACTAAGGTGGCATTTATTTGCATGATGACTGATTCTATTGAATAGGCACTGCTCCAGCCCTACAGGAAAAAGAAAACATGTCTCTCAAACAAAGCCACGCAGTATTCCCTAACAAAATGGCATATAAAAACTCAACAATAGCAAATCAGCATTAGAAAGAAACTGGGCCAGATGCAATGAAGTATGCCTGTAATCCCAGCAGCTTAGGAGGCTGAGGCAGGAGAATCATGAGTTCAAAGCCAGCCTCAGCAACGGGGAGGCACTAAGTAACTCAGTGAGACCCTGTCTCTAAATACAAAAAAGTGGTGGGGATGTGGCTCAATGATTGAGTGCCCCCCGAGTTCAATCCCCAGTAACCCCCATCAAAAAAGAAGTTGGTATTAAAGGGTATCCCTTTTAAGAGTAAGAGTTGGTAAGAGCTGGACCACTTTCAGAACCTTACAGATAACAAAAGAATCCTACATTCTAAGTGTGCACATAAGCAAATTATAAACTTAAATGAATAGCATTCTTAATGCTTATTCTAGCATGGATTCAGCACAAAGTACAATGTCATTTTCCTGGTTTACTTCAAATAACTTTTTCATTATTAAAAAGTAGGTGCCATTAAAACAAAAAAAATTTTTAAAGTAGATGCTGTTCAGCAATTCACAATAGCTAACCTATGGAACTAGCCTCAGTGCCCTTTGACAAATGAATGGATAAAGAAAATGTGATATACATACACAACAGAATATTATTCAACTATAAAGAAGAAATTATGAAATTATGGCATTTGCTGCTAAATGGATAGAATTGGAGACTATCATGCTAGATGAAATAAGCCAATCCCCCAAAACCAAAGGCCAAATGTTCTCTCTGATATGCAGGTACTACATGCAATAAGGAAGGGTGGGGCAAGTAACAGAAGTTTACTGGATTAGACAAAGAGGAATAAAGGGAAGGGAGGGGAGATGGGAATAAGAAAGGCAGTAGAATGAATCAGACATAACTTTCCTATATTCATATATCAATACACAATCAGTGTAATTCCACATCATGTACAATCACAAGAATGGGAGGTTATACTCCATGTATATATGTCAAAATACATCCTACTGTCATGTATAACTAAAAAGAAACAATAAAATTTTTTAAAAAGTAGATGCTATTACATAAGAACTTTCTCCTTAATATCTAATCTACAGAATCAAAACACTATTGAGGCTGAAAATTGAGGACCATAAAAAAAAAAGATCACCTGTTTTGTGAGAAGTTCCATACATAATGCTCCTCCACCCAAGACGTACCTTAAAAAACAAAAAAGAATGCCATTTTCTCTAGATCTCAACATTTCTTCTTAATCCATTTTTAAGTACCATTACTAAGAAAATACACACAGAGTAGAAGATAAATACAAAAATGAAAACAGTTGTTAGGGATATAGGACTATGGGTAATTTGAAAAATTAATGTCATTGCTCTAATACTATCAATTTTAAAAAATAATGACTCTTAACAGAATATATTCAGATTTCTAAGATTTAACTAAGAACTTAACCTTCAGCACTCCAGGGAATGGGAGCAGAAGACTGTTTCCTTAACTAGCATTCAAGTGGTTCTCTGCATCTCAAACTTTATCTACACCATGTTTCACACCCAAGAGTTTTGACTCTGACAAAAGCACTGACTTTTCTCTATCCATAATAATGAACAGCTTCATGGTACTTAATGGAGTAAGTTATTTTTATCCATTCTATTGTGAAACTTCAAATGGTTCTGACCATGGAATCTCTCTCTAGGACTCCTCAATTTCTTTCTAGGTCTGAAACTATTCTCTAAAACCAAAGAATTTGTGGAAATATCTCTTTAGCAAATCATTGTTTAGATCAAGATTCTTCAACCTTTTTATCCTTTCTCGAATTAACTTCATTCCTCCTTTTAAATTTCAAAATACATTAAATATCAAACCTAAGGACAAAAAGTTAAGGGAATGGCAAGTTTTTAAGATTACCACAGTTTTTCTTCTAAACAAGCAAAAGCCACCAACTAGGTCTTTGTGAACACTGCATCAACTACAAACCATTCAGTCCTTTACTGAAGCTTTGGCTGTGGTTCCTTCCCAGAGCCACACTTGCCCCAATTTGCCAAAGACTATTCTAGCCAACAAATCTATCCCAGCTAACCATACATTCTTGTGCTAACCAAACCAAATGACTTTGCAGAGAATCTAAAAACATCTACGTAGACCACTCACTTGAACAATAGTTGTTACAGCTTGATAAAGTGGCACACTGTAATTTCCACAAGCTTGGGAGGCTGAGGCAGGAGAATTGAGAAGTTCAAAGCCAGCCTCAGCAAAAGTGAGGCACTAAGCAACTCAATGAGACCCTGTCTCTAAATAAAATACAAAAAGAAGCTGGGGATGTAGCTAAGTTGCCCTGAGTTAAATCCCCAGGACCCCCCCAAAAAATAAAATAGTTGTTATAGTGAAAGTATTTAATAAGAAGATGAGGACGGTAAGTACTCTTAACTATCCCATCCTGAAGTAGCAGGAGATTCTCCTAAACAGAACTGAGAACTTTCAGAGTAGAAGTTTAATGGAAGAGAAGGAAAACCTAAAAGAAAAACATTAAAAAATTGTGTGGAGAATCACAGGATTTAAAAAAAAAAAAAAAAAAAAGTACATACTTTTGTATTCCTGAAACACAAGAGTCTAATTCTTTTAGAATGCCTTGGACTAAAGATAATGTAACAAACACTTGTATTTAATAAAAACTGAGTGGACAGAATTAGAAAAATCTAGGTTCTCTTTTAAATTTTGGTTTTCCCATGATTTCTCAAAGTCTAGCAATCTGTGATTTAACATCATATTTGATCTATATATTTTCAAAATGCTCAAGGAACAGGAGGAATTGCTTTAGACAAGAAGGTATTCAGTACATATTAAAATACTCATTATCTAACCACTAACTTTTCTTTTAGCACCAGACTCTTCCGCTGAAGGGTGCAGAGTCATATTAGGTGGGAAGATAGGAAGTGTTTTCATATGTAGTTCAAAAGAAAGTATATTTCTACAAATACATAACAGTTATACTAATGACTGTCTAAACATAAGACACAAGTAGTTCCAGTTCCTCCACAAAAAGTGAGATAATATAGTCATTTCCTATACCCTTCTCTTCCTGGCAATCACTAATCTACTTTCTGTTGCTACAGATTGCCTATTGTGGCTATTTCATATAAATAGAATCATATGCACCATTAATAGCATTAATACCTAAAAGAAGTGATCATTTCTATATTGAATTACATTCATTTTATCAATATGTGTTCCGAACTCTTATTGCTCTTTGCCTCCAAACAAAGGGTTCCTGCTTAATATTAAGACAGTTAAAGGACACAAGGAAAAAAATTAATCCAAGAGTCATCTAAGGATAATATATCACATACATGAGCAGAGTAGGAGTCTCAATTTTTTATTTTATTTTATTTTTTTGATAAGTTAAAAATTCCTTAATTTTTTATTCCTGGTACCACTACCACAATTTACAGGGCAATATACCTGAGTAATGAAAAGAAAAAGAAAAAACTACAAAAGATAAAAGACCTCAGGAATGTACATCTAATTGACCCTACATTGCATTAATCAATAGCTGCACTTTTTGCAAACTGTGGCTATGACAGTCCTGAACAAGAAGGGGTTCCTGTATAAGCTCACTAACTTTTCTGACTATGGATCATCATTCCTTCTGTGGCAGATTTTTACAGTTCCTCTAATGTGTTTGGGACAACTGCAGCTTTCCTGACAACTCGTCGCTTTCTCTCCTGCTAAGAACTGTAGCCCTTTTCTGCTGTTTTTAAAACCTTCTGCTACCATATCCACCACTTCCACCACCAGATCCATAACCACCACCATAGGGACTGCCAGAGCTTCTTCCACCAAAACTGCCCCCCTTCATGGGTCCATAATTTGATTGCTATTGACCACTGTAATTTCCAAAATCATTATAGTTACCACCACCAAAATTTCCTCCTTCATTGTAATCATCATATCCTCCTCCACCACCATATCTACCACCTTGGTTTCCATATCCTGGTCCACCACCACCATAACCTCCTCTACTACTATAACCAGGACCGCCATCATAGTTGCCACCATCACCTCCCCCGTAACTACCTCTGCTGCCACCACCTCCATCACCATAGCCTCCTCTTCCACCAAAGTTTCCACCATGGCCAAAGTTACCTCCACCACCTCCAAAGTTTCCTCCACGACCCATAAAGTTGCCAGATCCACCTCCGTGACCTCTTTGTGATCCAGTAAACTGCATCTCTTGTTTAGAAAGGGCCTTTTTCACTTCACAATTATGCCCAATAATAGTGTGGTATTTCTGAACAACAATTTTGTCAACTATATCATGATCATCAAAAGTTACAAAAGCAAATCCTCTCTTTTTCCCACTCTGCCTGTATTCTATGACGTCTATGTTTTTTTTTTTCCTGGTACCACTACCACAATCTTGACATACTTTTCAAAGTAATCTCTCAAATTATATTCTTCTGTATCTTCTTTAATACCACAAACAAAAATTTTCTTCACTGGTAGATGGGCACCAGGCTTTACAGAATCCTCTCTAGAAACAACTCTCTTTGGTTCCACTACACACCCATCAACCTTGTGAGCACACATTGCTGCATCCACCTCTTCAACACAAGTCACAAAACCAAAGCCCCTGGAACTTTTTGTTTGGGGGTCTCTCATTACCACACAATCTGTGAGTGTGTCCCATTTCTCAAACTGTTCTCTTAAACTATCATCTGTAGTTTCAAAGCTCAGACCACCAATAAACAGCTTCCTCAATTGCTCTGGTTCCTTTGGATCATGGGAGATATGGCAAAGGATTAGGCTACAGGTTATCAGGTAAGTAAACTCCTACAAAGCAATAGTATTTGTGTTGCAGAAATCAGAATGGGCTCAGCACATCCATATACACTGAATAAA